CATAACACATGAATTCAGCCTAGACTAATTTACCCACTAACATTTTGGTGATTGCAGTGTAGACAGATCCACTGTCACCCAAGCTACCTCAACTAACACTAGCATGGCAATGCCTCCACATACCATGATCATACCTCCTGCTGCCAGCTCAAACCTTCCCTGGAATACAATTTTGCACCTTCTCCACTGTGCAGTGAAAGGGAAGCGGTGGTATAAAAAACAACACCAACTGGCCATGTCCATTCACTGCATGCAGGGCCACATGCTGCACTCTCTCAACACCACAGTGCAAAACTTGGCCTAGGGGATTTAGCCTACAATCCAGAGCTCAGCATTTTCTGCTGACAAGGATACAGATACGCTTCTGCTAACCAAGGTGACTAACAAAGCTGACACCATATTACCCAGCACTTTATTACATGGTGGCCACCTACTGATCTCATCAAAAGGCAAAGGTACCTTCAGAGGGAGAAACACATCGCGTCAAGGATCACTGCATATTCTCCACTACTTCCAAATGGGGGCAGCCTAGAAGAGCGTTTGCTTATTTCTCAGATGACAAAGCCATTGTAGAGATCTGCATCAAAATGTAGCACTTATTTTGTAGTCGCTGGGCCAAATCCTGCTCTTATTGATACATGGATGAAACTGGATAGTAGCATCACTGACCTCAGAGTCACTCTACATTTCTGTGGACATAACTAAGCACCAGATTTGGTCGAGACTATATATTTTCCTTCCAAGGGGACTTCACTGTGATGCCATACCAGTGCATGTGTTCCAATGGCCCCATCATTGGGTGGGAGGTTTAAGCCCTGTGGGGGCCACCCACACTGGCCAGATTGCTAGGGAGGGACCAGGCGAAAGCAGAGTGCCGATTCTCCAAACTAAGGGGCTGAGCAACAAGCTAACAGTCTGTCCTGGTCAGGAACGTTACGGAAAGAGAAGGAGAAATGATTTTGCATTTGCACTGTGACTTCATGTCCTCACTGGGCACAATACAACCACATTGCAATCAGACAGGTAGCTGGAGTATTGAAGATATACAGCTACCTGAGCTAGCTTTAAGCAGATTAGCTCAGGAGTGGATGGGTAGCAGCCTAGCTGCCATAGCACAGGAGACTAATAATTTACCCTGCTAAGGCTTCTGCGAGCTGTTCTGGTAAGTAGTTTGACAGGCAGGGATGAAAGAGGCACATCTGTTACTGGTACAACCTCTGATGACAAAGGAAGGATTTAGATTCGGCAATACAGTATACGTGCACACCGGCGCACACGCGCAGTAGAACTGGCATGAAAATACACTCCGCAGAATGCTGCTAATGACTAAAGCTTGGTCCAGTTGATTAGACGCTTGACCTTTTTAATCTGAATAGAGGAAAACTGCACATGAGGAAAGTAGCTGTTCCCTTTTGCTGGCTGAGTAGCCCAAATTATACCCAGTCTGCCAGGAAACATCTGTCTCAGCAGGACCCAGCCTGCGGGTTTCTAACCCCCTGCTCCCAGGTCACAACCAGGTCCTGGGAGTCAGGACCACATCTGTCCTCCCTCTATTACTAAAAGCCTCGTGGGTGGTGTCCCAGGATGGAAAATGAGGAGAATCATTGTTCTAGCTCGACCCTATTCTGCAGTTTCCCCAGTACAGCAGAAGGACTGGGCTGAGTCCAGAATGAAGATACACGCTGGACTGTCAGTGACCCAACACTTTTCCTTGGCACCTTTTAGCCACCACGTGAAGACAAGTTGCATCCAGGACGATGATCAGGTTGAAAAACACTCACAGGTTTTGGAAAACATTTCGTGGTTGTTAAGGGCAGTAGGGCCTGTTTTGAAGATCTTGCCTAACCTGTTACATACCATTGGTTGGAGTAGATCACCCAGTTAAGGAAATAGCTTGTGGAAAACACACCCCAGCTCTTCTGGGTCACTCAAAAATGGTTACACACATACAACTCGATGTACTACTCGAAGATGCCTTTCCAGTGTTTCTATGGGCCCCAGGGAGTTGGCTCTGAGTCAGAGGAGAACACGCTCCAGAAGGTCATCCAGGCTGAGATGGAGTGATTTCAGTCTGGTACATCACAAAAGGGGCCTGCTTTTCTAGGATGTGTCCAGTGCCCATTTTTCTGAATATTGGGTCTCTTTAAGGTATCTGAACCCAGGTACCAAGAACATGTTTAATGAGATATCCCTGCCTTTATGCAGTTGTGTGCAATCATAACACACCGCAGTTTACAACCATTAAGTTATCCTCATGCATCTGCTCAACATCATCCCCAATAGCTTTCACGTAGGGACTGCCAAGCCTGACCTCCATCTGCCCAGTATTTTCTCTCAGACAGTGGCTAGAGGAAGGTATCAGAACCACTGCTCCCAAATGAACCATTTCTTCTGGACCCATTAGTTGGAAGCAGGCTAATTCCCTGAAGCAGGTTTTTCACCCCTTCCACCTTTTGGCTTTAATCCTGTCCCATGTAACTTCAGATGGCCCTGCTATTCATAGATACACTTAACCCCTTCTATATCTTACTCAGCTCCTAGCCTGGACAGTGTCATGGTGGGTCTGCCTTTCATCCCTCAGTAGGAATGCAGATCCTGTAATGGGCAGGTAACTAGTCCAGGCTGTTGGAAAGTACATCACCACTGGGGTAGCTACTTTTGGGATCAGCAAGGTTGGCTGTCATCTCACAGAGACAAAGAACAGGCCTATTGAGCAAGACAGCCACGTGTTAAAACAATTTTCCCAACAGGACTGCACTCCAGACTCGCTCTGCAGCTGGGGCTGGAGAACGTGGCTCTGTCGGAGTCAACAAAGCTATGCTAGTTCACACCAGCCAAAGGGTTGACTTCATCTTCGGTATGTTGCTCAGAGCCCTGATGCCGACAGCTAGATGATGGGGCCCTTATAGATCTTCACCGGAGGTGGCAGCATAACGGGATCAAGCTTAATGCCATCTGCTTGCCCTGAACAATTGCCAAGGGAAAGTAGCAAGGACCGTGAAGCCACTCAAACCCCTGCAGCTAGCATGAAATGAGTTCAGGATAACCCTGTCCCAGCTCATCTCTTTGGCTGGCATCTGCTTTGGTGCTTATGAAGAACTGTTGCAATTAAAAGGCGCCAGAGACCCAGCCCCAGGCAGCAGTGATGGTGGGAGCCACCACCCTGACATCTTACCTCTTCTGCGGTATTGGGTATCACATAGACATGCAGAACAGAAAGGTCCGTGCCCAGCCCACCCCACCACAGAGTAGTGGCATCATTAGAAATCAGCTGTGAATCGACACGACGCCCTGCCTCTACTATGGCAACCCCCCGCATTTCCTTACGTGCGCGCCGAACCCCACCACTGCCCTACTGCCGCGTTTTCCCCCTCTCCGGTTCTTCGCATCGCAGACACTCTAATTGCTACCAGACACCAGGCAGCAAGTTACAAGGGAAACAAGTGAGGCTGGCCTATATAATCTTATTTGACGGTTGTGTGCACAGTCCTATAGCAATGTGTCTAATGCAGACAAAGAAAACATTTCAAAGCTAAGAGAGGAAAAAAAAAAGATTTTTGTTATTATTCTTTAAGTCTAAATCACTCTCTTTCAATGATGGCCAGCTCTAAGCACATAAATATATTCATGAGCTCCTTCTTATGCACTGGGAAGGTACAGTTGTTAGGAAAATAAATCCCACATGAAATGTGTTGTGGTACAATGGCCTTGGCATCTGAAACCCATGAGCTCCCCCCACCGCCAGCCCAAGTAGATGCCTTACTCCAGTTTTGTTTTGTTTTGGGGTTTTTTGGGGGGGGGCGGGGGG